TCTATTCTTTTGGGTTTTTCAATAAATTTAATACAAAGTTAATTTGGAGCCATCAATGCCTATTAGTTTATATTTCTCAACGCCAACAAAGAAATTAATTATGTATTTATCACACATTCATGGCATTTCCCCCCTTTTCCACCATTTAATTTCTATTTATAAATTGCATGGTGATCATCTAGTTTGGGGCATGACCAATTGACTAGAAGCACATCACAAATTTTGGGGTTGGGCAAAGTGTCAAAACTCCATAACCTGAAGCATTTTCTCTCAAGACAAACAGAAAATTTTTGAAGTTCATTTCACCTTGGTGTCTCAGTCACACCCCTAACATTTTTGGCTAGGATCCGATTTGTCCCCATACGACACTGCCTCCCCATACAAGTTTTGTCACATCCATTGGATCAATACAGCATCAATATTATCCATCGGATCAAAATCGAACTCCGATCGTATAAAGAACAAAAATAATTTATGAAATTAATTTATAAGAAAACGAAATCTACCCATTAAATGTAAATATCTTATTATAACACATCATATGTGTATACATAAATATATCATGAATTAAACATGAATCGGATGAATTCTTATAATTTTAACATTAGATTCTAAATATATATATTTTTCAAAAAATTTAACTAAGAAAATTAATAATGTCAATTTATTGTCTTTTTAAATTGTTAAGTACTTATCTCATCCGTATCAATTTGAATATGCTCAAAATCTACACAAATCTAACAGTTGAAAATTTGGAATATATTATCCTACTTTTTTTAAAAAAAATTGAGTTTTTAATTATCAAATTTTAATTTTTATATGCAAAAAAGAAAAAAAAGAAAAAAAAGAAAGCAAGTACCATTGACAAATACTCTATACAAAAGATATTACCTTTGTTTCTATCTATGAACATGATAAATCATTAACATACAGAGTCTAATGTGAACATTGAACAATGTTCTTATATAATGTAAAGCTACCATAGGAGGAAAAGACTTTGCATCTTGTGAATGTGTTCAATTTTTGCAGCCGTTGGTCAATCCAAGGGGCTCTCCTACGTCTAACAGAAACTCCTAAGTCTTAGATACAAGAGAGTTAAAAGAAAGAACAAGAGAGAGAAACAGAAAGCCAAAAAAAAAAGAGAGAGAAAGAGAAAGAGACATTCTTTCTTCCTTTCTTTATTAGCAATAAACTTAAAGTTCTGTTCTTTCTCACACCAGTTTAAAAGAAAAACCTTGGGTTTTTTTTTACCTTGCAAGGAGCAATCTTTTTGTTGTGTATCTGCGTCGAAAATCAGGTTTGTTTCTTAAATTAGCTTCCTTTCATGTGTTTTTTCTTCGAATGTTTTCTTCATGATTGTTTTTTTTGGGTTATATTCATTGGACTATTTGGTTTTCTTTCTATTAATAGCTTTATGATTCAAAGATGAGATTTTTCAGATTTGGCATTTGTTTCTTTGGTAAAAAGATTTGATCTTTCCTGATTTTGCTGTTTCTGGGTTTTGCTTATATTTAATGGTAGTTATGAATCTGTTTCTATATGTGGGAAATTTACAGATTCGATGATGAAGAAGATTTTAATTTAGATTTGTTTTTTTGATGCATTGTAAAATGTGGAAACAATCATTTCCTTCTTAATGACTTTTCTTCAGAAATCAGATACCTTATAGTAGCTTAGTGACAATGTATATTTAACTAATTGTTCTTATTTTTTTAATGATGCTTTAACTAATTGTTTATTTTGTCTGATTCCTTTTCTAGTGTTCTTGTCCATTTTTCCTTGTGCATCATATCTTTTGCTTTTTGTATGTTTTATACTTTATACTCTTTTCTCTCTCTTTGGTTGTTTGTAATTATTTTATTGTTTGTCTATTTTTGATTCGGCCACCGGAACAAGTTTCAATTTCTTTGTGTTCTGGGAACTAACATAACAGGCTATGATACCATAAAATAATTCCTGATATTATAAACTGATATTAATTTTGGTTGTTCATTTAACAGCAATACCAAGTATATTTTGGAATATACATAGGAGGAAAGGTCTTGATCTGAAGACCGATGGTATGTGTGGGTCCCATTTGTAACTGAATCAAGATAGAAAGTTTTTTTTTCTATGTTCTGTGTTGGTGATGAGCACAATTTGGCTGTGAAGATTATTTATCGGATCCTATGATAAGGTCTCGCAATGGTGTCGTTGAACATGGAGAGGAAATGGGTATTTCCGCTTGTGATAAGTTCTCTTATATGCATGTTCCTTCTTGTCACTTCCTTCAATATGGGGCTTGTTTCTTCAGTTTACAGAATCAATTCACTCTTCTCCATTTTCCCGGCTCATATTTCAATGAATCAAAGAAAGCCGGGCTATGCTGAATCAAAGATTAATCAAGGTGCACTGCCGCCTCCTTCTGGTCCAACAGTACCACGTTTTGCTTATTTGGTTTCTGGATCAAAAGGTGATCTGGAAAAGCTTTGGAGAACTCTTCATGCACTGTATCATCCAAGGAACCAATATGTGGTCCACTTGGACCTTGAGGCACCTGCAGATGAAAGATTGGCGCTTGCTTCCCGAATAAAAAACCATACAATTTTCTCCAAAGTTGGGAATGTTTATATGATCACCAAAGCTAATATGGTTACTTATAGAGGACCAACCATGGTTGCTAATACTCTCCATGCTTGTGCCATTCTTCTCAAGAGAAGTAAAGATTGGGATTGGTTTATCAATCTCAGTGCATCAGATTATCCTCTTGTGACTCAAGATGGTTTGTCTCTATCATATGCCTTATGATTTTTTTTCCTGGGGTGGTGGATCTTGTTTTGGGTATTTGTTTATTTATTTAAATTTTTTTTGAAAGGTATTTATTTATTTAATTGATTCTGCACAACCCGTTTATCGATTAGTTTGTCATTTGCAGATCTTCTTTATGCATTTTCGTCTTTAAATCGGAACCTTAATTTTATTGAGCATACAAGCCAGCTTGGTTGGAAAGCGTAAGTTTTCTCCCTATTTCCCTCTCTATGTAAAAATCTTTATGTATGTCAAATGCCAAAATATTTTGCCTGTGTTTGTGCAGGGATAAAAGAGCAATGCCTTTGATCATAGATCCTGGGCTCTACATGTCAACCAAGTCTGATGTATTTTTGGCCACTCCAAGAAGAACGTTACCTACAGCATTTAAATTATTTACCGGTTAGTATTCTGTCACACTCCTGATTTTCTTTAATTTCTCTGTTCAGTAATTAAAACTTTTAGTTGTCTTTGATTCTTTACAATTCAGAATATGAAGCATACTGAAGCTTTTATAGATAAAGAATTGTTTCTAGGAATCTGTTCCATCTTGGTGGTCTCATTAGGTAGCGCCATCTTTGGCTGTATCTTCTTATTGGCTGATGAGATTAGTGTTCCTGATCTCATAGATAAAACAACCTTCTTCTATCAAAAAGTGAATTATCTGGAGCTATGGGGTGTGTTTGAGTTAAATTACTCATATACTAGACTCACTGGGCAAGCTCTGCTAAAATGTATGAAAACATATATGCATTTTTTAGTCATGCAGTTGGATGGATTCTTGATCTTAAAGCAGTGCCTTGGTTTTGTTCTGTGCTTCAAATAGGAACTGCATATTACATTCCTACAGATAGGTAGCACATATTGCAGCTCTACTCATATGTTAGAAATAGAAAATTAGTTGCGTACATGCACATTGACACTTTATCACAAATGGTAATTTTGTTTTGTTTTAGAAAATTGATGGTATACTGTCTCACAAGCCACAACATCCTCTTTGGTTGCAGGTTCAGCATGGACTGTTTTGTCACATTCATTTGTAGAGTTCTGTGTTTGGGGTTGGGATAATCTACCAAGAACTCTTCTCATGTACTACACAAACTTTGTCTCCTCCCCTGAAGGCTACTTTCAAACTGTCATATGCAATGTTCCAGAGTTCACTAACACTGTTGTCAATCATGATTTGCATTATATTTCATGGGACACACCCCCTAAACAGCACCCACACACCCTTACCCTTAATGACACAGACAAGATGATTAGGAGTAATGCTGCTTTTGCACGGAAGTTCAAACAAGATGATCCTGTCTTGGATAAGATTGATAAGGATTTGCTTGGTCGGGCAAGCAGGAGCTTCACCCCAGGTGCTTGGTGCTCTGGCAAACCAAAATGTTCAGAAGTTGGGGACTTCAACAAGATCAAGCCAGGTCCAGGAGCTCAAAGGCTTCGCCAACTCATAGCTGCATTAGCTATGAAGGCTAATCTCGGTCAAGATCAGTGTAAATAGGTTTCATGATTGGGAAGTTTGATCGATGAGGCAGACCACAGCTGAGAAAATTGTATCTAATAGAAGAATTTCAATAATGGCATTGCGCATCTGGCCTAATCTCAGTTATAATTGAATGCGAATCTTAGTTTTGCTGCAACCATAGGAACTCAGAATTATAGCCACGTTCAGGATCAAAAATCATTCTCAACACCCTACTTTTGTTAGGTTCTAATTAGACAAAAAACTACATACATCCCTATCTCAGAATTGTTATTCAATATTTTTCTTCCGTAGCAATAATTTTGATATATCTTGGAAACTCTTGATGTTGAAGTTTCTTCCAATTATTGGTTAGATCCCAAGACTCAATATTCTACTAGAATAGCTGTTCTAGTTTTTGTCTAACAGGGTTGAAGCCCTCGTATCCTTCTGAACAATCCTGCCTTGAAACTGAAGTGTCCAAAAGGAATGTATGCGCTAGCGCATGTACACATATATATGTGTGTATTGAAATGGTTGGGATAGAAATCATTCCTGCCAGTTGAAGCTAATGTGATATGACTAGTCATCTAAAGCATTCACTTAGGTGCATCTCATTAGGTTCCCACAACTCTTTAACCACTGAAATCGGATTTATAGTCTTATTGTTTTGGCAGCCAACATTATCAGGTACCAGTTCTGGTTATCTCTCCACATGAATCCAATGCCATGAAAAGAAATAAGATAAAAAAGAAATAAAGTGCCTTGACAATTATGTTCTGCCATTTTGCTAACAGTTGTGGAAACATTTATAAATAACATCCACCACGAAATGGTAAACTGTGATGCATCAGAAAAATTAATTATACTTGTTAAAAAAAATTGACTATGAACTATAACATTATAAAATATACAAGAGGACTGATTTTTTACCCCTTTTCTCTCCTTTGAATTTTTATCTACATATATTTGATCAAGTCATTCTCACTCTTCATGTTAACTGCATCCGCTATCATCTACAGCCAAAAATTGTTTTGCTCAAAAGCTATGCCCTTAATCTTCTCCAATGGAAGGTACCTGCCATTACTCGTTGTTCTGCACTTGCATGGAGGATGGGTTTGGTTCTGTCCTTGATTGAATTGTGGATGATTTAGAAGAAGAGGCCAAACTAAACCATCTCCAAAATTTTGATATTCCCAGTAGAATTTGCAGCAACTAGGGTAGAGGACTGGCCACGCCAACACACGGAAGAGATAAACTGTGCAGCATCATCCATTTCATGCCCAGAAAGTGGATCCATGTTGTTGAACTTGTATGTCAATGCTGGCATTGGGAAAGCCTTATGATATATGAATACCTATAACAATAGAGTTTCGAGTGAGTGCTCAATACAAAAAATTGGCACAATCTCATGTTCAAGAGGCACGAAGGAATGATTCATCAGGAAAATGCAAAACATATTACATACTGTCATTTTGAAATGAGTGGGAAGCTGCAGCTTATTAAGTGCTTATATTGGTAAACCACAGATTTTACATAAATCAGGAGTTGGCATTGTAGAGTCTTCACATAAGATTCAGAAAAGCTGTGATGACTTAAGGCAAATCTCAATGATTAGTACCAACTGCAGTACATTGTAACTAAATCTATTCACTTTTCTCAATAATTTGTGGCTGACAAGCATATTAACTTACACCTATAATATTATAGTTGCAAGAATTGCACAAAAACAGAATTCATAAACACCTAACTTTTCCTGATCTTGATGCATACGAAATAAATATGATCAGCCTTTTGGCTTGTCCAAATATGCTTCTCGGTAAGAACGAAATTGCAACACCAAAGGAAACATTACTCTTCTGCAACACCATCAATGGACTTTTATAATTTCTCAAAATAATTGTGCTACCTAATAATTCTGGTAATGATTTTAAATTGATTTTCTTTCATGTAATAGAGCAAGATCATGGCATGATCTTCAAACAGATTGATTGCAGGAGGCTCATTTTTGAAAGTTTGACTAAGGACAGCCTAAACGTTTTATGCACGTCAGTGAATGGTTACAATTGGCAGGATGATAGCTTTTCTAAAGCTAATTTTTCAAGCAAGAAATAAAGAAACATGATATCATCATGGCACCAGAGTTTAGAAGCAGCAAGTTGGCCAACAATACTACAGCTATTAATGAATGTTTGTCTAATTGTATAATGAGGGAATGTATGGATTACCTCATTAGTCTCTGAGCCAGTGGCAATGTAACCATCAGATACTGACAAGCCCACGAAGTTCTGCAACAAGTAGAACATTCATCCACAATATGAAGCACCATCAACCAGAGGAATAATTTTCCATGAGCAATATGTTGAAGAGTGAACACTAGTCATTGTACATGAGGATGGAAAGAAACTCAAGCAAACCAAATAAATTTGTCATGATTTCACATGTTCATTGCAGCAGATATGTGGCTACCAAATGGAAGTGTTTGCAAGAAAGGTATATGACTTAAAGGCAGCCTATTTTATTAACATTGCCAACTAGCAAAGCTTTTAGCCCAAAAGAATGGAAACTTTGAGGTAAAAAGATTATTGTAATTTAGATGTATACAATGAGTATGGTTGTTAGTTTGGTTCACATTTTGGTCTTAAAACTATAAGACAGATAACAAACTGAGCAAAAAGTGTTCAGAAATAGACAAATAATCTTAATGTATGTTCTAACTTTATGAACTATAATTACCAGGAAAGTTACAAAAAGAATATAAATAGAACATAAATAAAACAATCCACCCATCTGAATATAAGGCTATAACAAACCCAAATTTCACCATGTGAGACACTAATACTTAGCAGTTTCCCCCGTGCGTATGTCCAATACCACAATGACAAAAATAAATGGGCATGGGAAACAAGCAATGAATGACAAACAACAACAAATGGGGAAAAAAATAGTCATGGCCGTAATATCATGTTGCATATCCAACCTATAACCAATTCACCATAGTTGGAGAAGCACAACCTACAAAAAAAGCTATAGCAAATCCTATATTAAGCAATGTGGGATAATACCACTTCATAATGTACAACCTACTTTATGACCTTATCCATTTCACTTCCTTTCTTCCTGAACTTTATGACTTTATTGAACAAAAGCAGATTAACCATGCAACTGTAACAAGGACAAATTTACTAAGCATAGTAATCAAGTCCAAACCAAACTTGAGATCATAATGCAAGCATAAAAGCTCAATATAATGCATGAGTTAATGTACCTTTACATTCATGTGGCCAGTAAAGGACTGAAGGGGAGTATCAATAACCCGAGATGTGCACATTGACAAATCCCAAAGCTTCAGAGTATTATCCGTAGAAGCAGAGACAAGAGTACTTGAATCCACAAACTTGACATAACTCACAGTTTTATTGTGCCCGACTAGTGTGCATAGAGGAATCCTAGAGTTTCGGAGATCATAATAATAAATTTTATGATCTGCTGAACCAAATGCAAGAGAACGACCAGAGTGCAAGGGAAATTGGACACAGCAAACATTGGCCTTTGTTTTGATGGTACAAATACTTACTCCCTGCAGTTGCAACCCAGGTAAGAGAAAAACTTATCATACATCTAGATTTTAATATACACATCTAGAAATTAGATGACTGCAGTACGTTTAGTTTCAAAGCTGACATCCACCAAGTGCAAAAATAGAATTGCCTGATTGATACTCCATAGCTTTACAGAGCCATCGTCACTCCCGCTAGCCAAAATTGTTGGATCTGCTGATGAAAAGTCGATGGACCATACGCGTTTCTCATGTTCTCTCATTTCAGTGAGTACTTGACTTCTTGTAACATCCCACACCTGAAAATTGTTTCGATACGGTTTTAGATCCAGCAATAGACAACTGAATGGTAAATGCTAAGTGAACACTTTACCTACCTGCACCACTCCTTCAAAGTTACTTGATGCAATCTGGCTTTTAATATAACTATTCCAACATATACTGCTTAGCTTTGACCGACTAGCCATTTCAACCACGGGATAGTGGATGTCACGATTTTCATTTATTATTGCATCACATTCAAATACTTTAATCTTCTTATTTACACCAGCTGTAGCAAAAAATTCTGCATCACGATCAAAACCGAGAGAGCATACGAGGTTGGAAGAATTTAATAAATCCCCTTGCTTCAAGTCTGCCTTGACCTTTAACTTGCTGTGAGATAGATACCTGCACAAGCCCTCAAGGAAGGGATTTATCCATCCACTTTCCAAGCTCTCGCTATACCTCTCTTTTGATGTTAAATTATTGACAGAACTTCTTTCTGTCAGAACAATAGATCCCCTGCCATCACTAATCAATGGTGTTTGTCTACTCAAAGGCTTCCCTGACTGCTTCACTGGCCTGCATCTTGTCAAAAAATATGCCGACTCAAGTTTCTTAAAGTTTTTCATCAACCGAGAACTTTTCAGGAGAATGCTTTCTTTATTTTCAGTAACTGTATCAGACTTTTGACGAGTGTCTAGATTATCACCACATTCTTCTATATTTTGAATCTGAAGTCCTGGTCTAAGTCGTTTTCTAGAACCCAAGGTAGAAGAATCATCAGTATCAACGATATTTACTGAGGGGAGATTTGATGTTGAAGTGTCATCTTTGCCCACCTCTGTATATGAGCTTCCCTTTTTCTTTAAAATTGTTTGCTGCTTTGTAACTTCTGCAATGTCAGAACACAGAAAAGAAACAGTATCCTGCAACCTATCAGCAACTTCCTGTTTCCTTTGTTGTATCAGCAAAAGGAATTCTAGCAATAACTCTTGCTCCTCTATTCTCTCCCTGAGTTCTATGGCCGCTTCACGTTCTTCCAGATTATCTCTTGGTTCATTAAGAAACTCACTCTGTAACAACTCACTGTTACACAAATGAAAATAATAAAAACGATTAGCATATCAAATTTGTTATGATCAAATGTTGGAGCTTCAGACCTAACACAATTTTTGCTTCATGTACAAGAGATTTAAGCAAATAAAACTTAAAGTACATTCAAAATGGAAATGGTGACATTGTTATTATTACATCAATAAGGGGAAACAAAAAAGGAGCATGCCATTGTCCATCATAGACACTAATAAAACATGCAATGAAATCCAGCACGATGCTACTTTCATATACACCTAGACCTATTAGATGGAAGTTCCTAACATTGTGTGTCCAATGCAAGGGATTTGACCACATTCTTCATTCCAGTATTAAAATGAAATTCATCAAGAAAATGCCATGCAAAATTACCTATGTGGCTGACTAAATTGCCTAGGCATCATGGTCTTTAAGACATATCTTGAATCAACTTCACTAATAAATACATTGTTGAAGGCAAAAACAATTAGCCAGATGAAAATAACTCTATCGGAAACCAGGTGATGACCAAAACAGATTGAAAGAATTTGGGGTCAACCAGATTTGCTGTAACACCTTTATATTATACATTCCATGTACTAATACAGATCGCCATCAATATTTCAATAGACTACTGTCACATACACATCATGCCTTATATTTCAGTGACAAGATTAAAACCTAACTCCATAAAGCCAGACTATTCATAAGATTTGTATGAGAGCATCTGTCCAGCACATTAACAAAGACATTATTATCCCATCATATTAATAAAAATGTTTGATAACATTAAAGAAAAGAAGAACAAATTTAAAGAGAAAAGGTATGATGGGCACCCAATATATAGATTATATAAATAATGGTGCATATGTAAAAGGCGAGGAGAATTACCCCATTTTTGGACGACTACTTGGCTCAGGATGCAATAACCATAAACAAAATGAAGCTTCCTTTGGCCACTTCAATAGCAACTGTGGAGGAAGAACTCGATGTCTTAAACTAGACATGGTTCTAGTCTTTTCTTCTCTGGAGCTAAACGGGCAGAATAACTGCAGGCATAAAGAAAGACTAAGTACAAAAATACAAGAAAAAGAGTTTTAAGATTCAATCCAATAATAATTACTAGCAAAATAATAGAAAATAAAACGAAAATAAGGCATTTGAGAGTTTAATCTAGCCATAACTAATAGCAAAGACAATAAACTAACTACAGAAATCTATTTCAAAAGTTCAAAATGATGGATGAGATCAAGTATTTTATTTACAAACCTCAAAAAGAAGAACTCCCAACCTATAGATGTCGGAAGCACAAGTACTGGTAGAATCAGCAACCTCTTCAGGACTAGTGTACCAACTGTTCTCCATAAGCAATATTTGTTTCATAGGAAATGGTTGCTTTCTCTCTTCTACTTGTTCAAAGTTTCTTCTGTCCAAGAGTTTATTTTCTTCACTTTCCTCTAAAGGTGCATTCCTTGCACATACTGAGCCTGACTGCATGCAACTGGCTTCTGATACAGCATTTGTTGGAGTTTGCACATCTTCATTCATCAGCCCACGTTGCTGATGCATGTCAAGGGGCAAAGTAGAGGATAAATCCTTAACCTCCATATTTTGGCTATTTAACGCATCCTCAACAAAATCAGATCCAGAATCCGAACAAGATGCAGATTCAATGAAGGAAACATGATTAAAGGAGGACATGACAAAGCAGGAAGGCCGAACATTATGGACAACAATCCCTTGTGAATGCGCTACATTTACAATGTCAACTATTTGCCTAAATATGTGCAAACATTCGAAGACATCAATGGACCGTTCTGATTTATCCAACCACTGCCTTAAGCTAACATCACCCCATTCAATGGTACGGACGAAAGGGTTTACTGCTGTCTCATCCTCGCAAACCCCAGAGACACCAACCTGGCTTCTAAGGTGATCATTATGAGCCAGCACATCCCTATCATCCTCCTTTCTAAACCCAAAATCATGCGAAACATCACCTGAAACGTCGATTTGCTCAGCACCAAACAGCCTTGGATCCCTGTCTGAGACTCCAGAAGTATTCAGTGCCCTAGAACTATCAGATTTCTGCCAAGCAGACTCAGATGAACCTTCCATAGTTATCCACGGAGAACTGCATGAAGACCGCCAAGAAATGAAAAAATTCTCTGGCTTCTTATCCACTCTCTCACTCCTACCATTATCATTTTGAATCATGAACTCATTTCATTGTCAAAATATGAAAGAGCCCCAACTTCCCATCAAGAAAACTGAAACACAATTCCCTGTAAACACAAGAAACCAAAATCAGTAACCTTTACACACCAAAATTCTCAGTGCAGAAGCTATCACAAACCCCACCACCACTAATACCGCCAATCAGAGAAGAAAGAAAGTTAACGAAACCTCAACCAGCAGCCAAAACACAACATACACACTACTCAACATACAATCACCTTCACACCAGACCAAACAGCACAAAGAAAACAACAAACAAAAGGCTACCAATAACTATATATTTAGTGTATGTTTCTAAGAGAAAAACGGGAGAGAGAGAGAGAGAGAGAGAGAGAGAGAGAGAGAAAGAGAGGCACCAGTTAACACCATGAAAGGATGTTCTTCTGTTCCTGCTAGACCAACCTGAAAACTGAACCACATAGCAAAAAAACATCTTTTAGTTGACACCTAAGATTCTCAACCTCACAAAATTCCCACAATATTTTCATAACCAAAAAAACAAACAAGAATCGAAAAACAAAACAAAATCGTCCCAACAAAAAACACGGACCATTTAAATATCAACATAAAAAAAAATGTAAAAAAAGTTGCTTTTTCTTTATTATGATAAACTACTTAACTTGTAACTTTATTTAATGTTTCTTTTTGGAAACACAGGCCACTCTTTTGAGCACCTCATTATCTTCCCGCTTTATTCCAATTGGACTACGTGGCATTACCATGACCCCAAAGCCTTTTGGCCTAATGCAACAGGCCAAAAAGTAATTTGAATATCTTGTGGGTCCATCTCATAGAGAAATTACTCCTCGTTTTTCACTGTGGGACTCTGAGTTTCTTGAAAAATACCCCAATTATTAAAAAATTGACTATCTTGGTGTTGAAAAAGAGAATCTTGGCTATCTTAAGTTTCCCAAAGCGGAAACCTTTTCAGATCAGTGAAATCAGACAACTCCAACCCAAGTTTTCATATTTAGTTAATTTTTTTAATATTAAAAAATGTAAATGATGTAACCTTGTGATGGTAAAGAATTCAGCTTTGATCCTAACAAAAGATTAAAAAACAGAACCGCGAGAGAAAAATAATTCAAAGAGTTGAAAGTTGGCGAATGCAAACCTTTGCTTCTTCTGCAAAACCCTGAAAGCGTGAGACTTGGATAAATGATGGCATAATTTTAAAGCAAGGAAATTTCTTCCTCCAGTTCCAAAGGATGAAAATTTGGATACCCATTTTTCCATTTTATTCAAAACACATCTTCATCTCATTAAGAAAAATCCAAAAAGAGGAGCCTTTTCAAACTGTAACTGAACGGCTATCTGTCATGGTGTTGGGTCAGATTTAGAACAGTGTCAGCATAGAGATAGAGTAAGTCTAATCTAATGGCAAATATAATTATATGGTAACTCCTTACAGTTTCCAAATTAATCATTTTCTTCCTTTTGGTTTTCAAATTTCTCATTTGCGTCCCTGCAATTTCCTATTTCTGACTTACAAAATTGTGTATACTCAAGAAACATTATTTACTTAAAATCATTACTATAAGTGGTTAAAACCCAAAAATACAAGAAACATCTTTGCCATAAATGAGATTGTCCTACCCGCCAATGTAAAAAACAAAAGAAACAGAAGCGTTTTGCAATGTTTAGTACATTGATTTTGATTTTCAAAAGACAAAACTTTGTGGGGTGGGGGGAACATACTGTACTGAAGATGGTCCTAAACATTTAATGCATCAATCTATCCTTGGACAAAAGGGTGATTGAAAACTCTCAGGTTCGGGTTCTGCCACCCCCTTGTCCCATAGCTTCTTCATCTAGTCACCTAAATAACTTTGGACCACAAATTTTGAGTCTTTCTGTTAGTTATTATTTTGCCAAGTATTAAGAAACTTCAACCACTAATATTTCTCCAATTTGAGCAAGCTTTTCCCTTATCGCCAACCAGCAAGGTACATTTCCTTATTATTGGTTACATGCAATGTACTATTTGGTAGTTCCAATCAAGTACATAGAATGTTGTGTAGTTTAGTTTTACAATTTATATCAAAGGGTCCGATTTTCCGGTGTCTATAAACTCTTTTGAAGACTAACTACTGTAGTTTGTAGTAGCCGTTGATACTTCCTATCATGCTGTATAGAGTAGGTTTTAGCCATTGATACTACCTATCATGCTATGTACGATAGGTTTTAAGTGCTCCAATAAGATTTACTACTTGATTGAAGTAACTCCTAGTAAAAAACACAAGAATTAAGTGAAGATATGACACATTTTTCAATTAATCTTGAACATCCATAATAAATGGATCTTGCTCAATATTAATATCCAAATCCCAACAATTATTTTAACCAAAGTTTGTCACACCTGTATGAATGATGTGGTTAAGTTGCATTTAAGATTTTCTTATACTGTATCTATCTAATGATTTCTCCTTACATTAAGCTCTCATTAACCCTTACTCTAGATTTTTTCACATCTTCAAAAGCTCCATATATTCATGCCAAAAAAAGTCATCCATTCTTTGCTTGAATCAGGATTCACAAGGGTTTTGCCTAATGATTTTGACGCAAGGTATGATGAATGCAGATCAGATGGTCCATGAAGTTGAAGCAACATAAAACCTTGGACTACCATTGTAGCTTTAATTTAAATGTTTGACATGACTAGACGAGGTAGAATTTGAGACCAATTATGGCTCACTTAACATTGAATATAAAGTTTATTACTAATTAAACAGGGTAATTTTTTCAATGTGGTAATCATTCTTCTCATACATGAATAATGGAAGGAAGCTGTCATATCTCCAAAGGGGTGGACCATGAACATTATGATGACGTAGAATGAAAGAAAATTAATGAACCAAAGCCATAGATTGCGTTAAGTTTTCTTGGTACATGCGAACAGAAAAAAAGAATGTAAAAGAGTAATTAGTCTTAACAATCATTTTTTAAATTAACTATAAGAGTTACATCTTTCTGATTTTTTTTATAATATAACGATTTAATACAGATTTCATTAATCTCTTCATCTACTGTTAAATGATTTTAAATAAAATATTTATCTAAAAAGTTTGGTAATCATCAAAATGAGAAGGACATGATATCCGATTCATAATCTTTATAGTATAAGATAAACTTGTTCCAAAGGTAATGTTACATTTCAATTTGAAAAGCTTCAGCTCAAAATTTTGTGATTTGCAGCAAACAGGCCAGTGCTGGCTGAGAACCCAAAATACAATATTTCATCTGTTAAGACATCGGAGAGGTCAAGAGAAACATTGATCAATGCCCTTTTATAGACTTCTTCACGTCTGAAGCAGTCATTGCAACAGTCAGCTGATTGTTCACATAATCAATCAATCCATAATTCACAGTTTGTTGACTTCGGTTCCATGCAACTTCATGTCATGGATAGACCAACCAGTCTTGTGATTTCTCTTTGTAGTTCGACCAAACCAGGGTCAAGCATTAGTTGTTAGAAATGGACGAACTAACAGATAGTTGGTAAGAGAAAGAACACATCATTTCATTTTGATGCGTGGCTCAATGATTAAGGGAAGCAGGGTCAGATTCTTTCTTTTCCAAATAAAAATAAAATCACATCATTCTAATGTTGCATTGCCAAAGAGGAACAAGCCTGATGGACCAAAGCCATCAAAGTCTAACTGCACTGCAGATGAATGAAAGGAATGTAGAGCAAAAATCAGTAGCAGTGCTTTTGGGAACTGCATAACGACCGGAGGTGGAGGCTGAAGAAAGTCAAAAGAATTTTCAACTGTATGAACAGTTCATGTTGAAGGCTGCTAGACTTCACAGGTCTGCAACACAAGATACAAAGGAAATGTATTCAACTTTAACCACCATGAAGTATCATACCATATAAAATATCGAAATATGCATATGATTACATGGTAATACAATGGAGCTAGAACATTATGCTTAATACATGGCTGCTATATTTCTTCTCCGGTTAACATTATTGATACTGCAATTTTCTTGACAACAGGCAATGATAAACATGCTAGATTTTGCTTCTTTCTTTTTTCATCACGTTAAATAATCTCAGATCTCTGCATTTAATTTATGGCTAACAATAAGCTCTACAAGAATGGGCCATATCTTAGCAAATTACAGTTGCCGAGTGGAAAGAAATACACATGATTAATCACAGAGAGATATTTCTCAATCAGCTATAAGCTTTAGCTAAATATGACCACTAGCCATCTTCCTAAAAACACCAACCTATACAAAAAGAACCCACCCAACAACTCGGATCATATTTCACAAGAGAATCTGCAGCCAAATTACTTGCAGCGATCATCCTGATGATGCTCATCTTCATTTGCTGTTTACAAAATTTAGCTCAACGACCAGAAACAAATAACGAATTGGTTGATATTTGGTTCCCTTCTAACTGAACTTTTCTCATCTTTGCCTTATCAAGGCGTGCTCGTCGAACAGCTTCTTGGATTTGGCGATCATGATCCTTGAGCATCTGATCCATGTTGCCTGACGGAACTATTAATGGACCAGAGTAGTGAATTTTGTGACCCTTTGACCCATAACCAAGCTGGAAACAAACATCATAAAAAGCATGTATCAGATACTTGAAATGGATATAAGTTACTAGCAAGCAACCATAAACCCAAAAGCATGTTGAAATGCAGAAAACCAGAAAACACTGAATACAAGAATCAACAAATTATCACAAATATCGCACTTCACTACAATGAGGCTCTTCTTAGCATGAAGTTGACCAGGACAATCAATCATCAAGGCAGAAAAAATAGGTTCACCACTTACCAGAACCGGATCTTTGCTGTTACTTCTTCCATCTTCTTTCTGCTGCAGATTATGTTTCTGATCTTGTTGGATGAAGGATTCTGAGGCCTCCTTGAAGGATCCTGGAAATCTTGCAATCATCTTTGGAGCTTCTGATTGCGAAGAACCAGATCTTTCTCTGCGATCTTCAGATATAAGACTACTTCTCCTTGCTGCCACTAAACCTGACATCATTGACAAGTCAGCCCCAGTTGAAATTTTTGGAGCATCATCCAGGTTTTTCCCAGACTTTGCCCATGCAGCCCGGTGAGCCAGTGGACCTGAATGTGAGGCTCTCTTGTAATGATTCCCCTGCGAATCTGCATTTGATTCTACTGCTTGTGATGGTCTAGGTGGATCTATAGGGAAGCCTGAGGCAACTTCTTCAGGATGAGGATTAAACTTCTCACTCCGGCTCTTAGAATTGGATTGACCTTGTCTTTTCTGGAATGTCAAAGAAATGTTCATAACGTCAAATTAATGTAACTGTCTAGAAGATGCAAAATTGATAAAATAGAATAGCAAAAAACATTCAATTACTTAATTAGAAAGCTTATAAGCAAAAACATCAATTGGAATTTACTTCTTTTTCATAAAGGCTAGCAAAAGAGGGGAGAAGCATTCACAAAATTAAGCAGCACCATATTAGCTACCCAGATATCTAAATCTAATCCATCTACTAGTAATAACCACTCAAATTAATATCATAACAGACTTCAACAAGCAATTCAGTTGGCCTAGCACCACGTCAGTCCCAGCATCGTGTGGCATGTAAATGAAGAAAAGAAAGTTAA